GAGGAATGCGGCTCCCACGCAGATGAAAGGCGGAGGCCCTGCCACGGCTCTGTGAGGCCGGGGAGACCTGAGTGCCACATGGGACGCCTCTGGGGAGGCCTCCGGATATGCACCTGGGACTTTGAAGGTGGTGGCTGCACATCTGGGGTCTTTTTACTCTACGACATCTGCCCAGTACTCAGGGACCCTCATTATTGCCGGAGGCAGGGCCCCAGGTGCAGTACTTTTTATAGCTGCTCCAGGTGACACAAAATGCGGCCCAGTGGGCCTCAGGCGGGACCGGGTGTGTGTGTGTGTGTGTGTGTGTGTGTGTGTGTGTGTGTGTGTGTGTGTGCGTGACTGAGGACCCAGCCTAGATTTTCCTCCTGTGCAGTCTCCAGGTGGCAGGGAAGCTTCTAGAAAAGAAGTGGATGGAAACCAGGAGGGAGTTACAGCCACAGGAGATCAAGAAACTGGTGACCAGAGGTGTCATCAAGGGCCACTGTGGTCACTGAGGAGTCCAAAGCAGGTTTGTGGGCAGGAGCGTCACGTGGGATGCTGGGTTAGAAGGTGGCTCCGGACTTGGAGTGGCCGAGGATGTAGATGCAGGCTGTCTCTGGACGAGGAGTGGGGGTTTGGCTGTGGGAGGAGATGAGGGTTAAGGATTTATCTGTTAAGGAGTGAGACTTCTATCCAAACACTCCCGGAGGCCAGCCAGTCAAGAGGAGGTGCTTAGCACTCAGGAGGCTGAGGCAGGAGGCTTACCGAGAGTTTGAGGCCAGCGTGGGCTGCATAGTGAGACCCTATCTCAAAAGAAAGGTAGGGGCTGAGTACTTGGAGAGAGAGGTAAACACGATGATTTAAAGTTCTAAGGATGTGGACGGGAAAGGTCAGATCTTCCGCTTTGTGGGCAGCAGGGACTTCAGACAGGAGCTGCCCTCGGTGCCAGGTGTGGGCAGGGGCTGGTTTTGGTGGGTGGGAGCCAAGAAGATCAGTTCATCTGTGGTTCTCTCTCTCTCTTTTTTCGTATTTTTGAGATTTTTGTGTAGTCCCAGCTGGCCTTGAACTCACTCTGATTTTACAGCGAGAAGAACCTCACTGATACGGTGGCTAGGAAGCAAAACTGGTGAAAGTCGCTGAGACTGAATGAATGGAAGAGACAATGGTGGGAAGAGCTCTTTGGGCAGAAAGAACACAGGTACAGTACAAAGACCCTGAAGTAAGAACATAGCTGTCACGTTTGGGAGGAGGCTGCAGAGAGGAGCAGGATGCAGGCCGAGGGGCTGGATGGGGCCCCAGGGACGAGGCTTTGCAGATAACTTCAGAGTGCGCTGCTTTAGGAAAACAGCTCTCGCTGTGCGGCCGACAGTACGGAGCGGAGCAAGTTTGCTCGGGCCGGCGCACTACAATGGACGTCGATGACGTCCAGCGAGATCGGGCTGGAGCACAGGCGGGCAGAAGGCCGCATCCAAACCCGTCCTCGACAGGCTACAGGGGTACTAGAGCCACTGCCCCGAAACCTGCGGACGTCCCCTTGGTCACCCAAAACCACGGTGGAAGGCTTAGCAAGCGCAGTCGGCAGCAGCCGAGAAAGTCCAGGTCCAAGGGGAAGCTTCCCGTGCGCTCAGGAAGACGGGGCCTCCGAGGGGGAGGGGACGGCCAGGCGTGGGGGCTGAGGACCCAGGACCGGACCTGTCACGAGCAAATGGTATGAGCAACGTCATCTGGAAAAACGGGACTTTTGTTTTGGAGGGGGGACCAGTCCTTGTCTCTCTGAAGCTCTGTCTTTGACGCTGGGGGCTTGGGGGTTCCTGGGCTTGTGACTGCATCACCCGTGCCTCTGTCCTCTTTCCATGTAAGTTACAGGGGAAGGAGATGTAAATGCTAACAGTAGAGAAGTAAACTGAGGCAGAAGTTTATGGGGGTCTAGGCTGAGCGCTTTGGCCCTCATCTTTGTTTATTTTTCGAGATAGGGTCTTGAGATGCAGTTCAGGCTGGCCTTGAGCTCTCGGAGGGGAGGCAGAGCTGGAGGGAGACCAGGCATTTCTTGTGGTCCCCGCTGTCGCCTGCAGAGCAGAGCAGGAGCCCACAGCAGCCCGCAGCCCTTGTGTTTGTCTTGGCCGAGGGCCCCTCGTGCCGCGTGAAGCCGATTCCATCCAGGCCAAGTTGGCAGGGGTCTCGGGGCAACCGCCCTGCTGGCCCTCGATCCGGAGCCCCCGAGGCGTGCTGTGGACCTCCCACGTCCTGTTGGGCACAGATGCTGGGGGTCACCCGTGCGGACTGACGCCGAGGCCAGCGTTCACCCGTCACACCACCCAGGCTGGGGCTCAGGCGGGGCTCAGGGCTGAGCAGGAAGCCTCAGCCGTACTGACTTCCAGGGCCTGCATGTCTCTGGGCCCCGATTCCTGCTCCCCCGTCCTGTTTAGAAGGCCCAGATCAAGGCGTCGAGGCTCCAGGGGTGCTGCTTCCCACTGGGGCCTGGGCCCTGGCAGGGAGGACCAGGTGGGCCACTGTGACTGAGGGGCCTCGCTCCCGTGCCTCGCCCCCAAATCCGCTGGCTCCCCTTGTCTCCCCTGTTGGGTCTGGCCCCAAGAAGGTATGGACAGCCTGGGCCTCGGCCCTTCACCAGGAACACGAGTTGCGGCCGGGCCTTCTGTGGAGAGATGTGCAGACTGCCTCCTCCCTCCCCTCGCAGGCTGCTGCTCCTCTCCAGCCTGCCCAGTGCTGCCAGTGTGCGACAGCCACCCCGGCCTGCTCTCCTCTCTGCCCCCGGCACAGGAACCTCCAACTCAGCACTCACTGCCTTAATGTTTGTTTGTTTGTTTTGAAGACAGGGTTTCACTATGTAGCCCAGCCTGGCCTCAAAGTCCCAGTGATTTCCTGCCCCAGCCTCCTGAGTGCTGAGACTACAGGCGTGCACCCCTGCACCGGTGTACCATGATCATTTTTTTTTTTTTTTTTGGCACCAGGGATCGAACTTGGGACCTTGTGCTTGCGAGGCAGGAAGTGGAACCACTGAGCTAAATCCCCAGCCCTCCATGATCATTTTTGTGTGCTTGTTTGCTGGCCCACGCTCGGGCCTCCCTGTGGACAAACAGTTGTGGATCTCCATCTGCCCAGCATGGGGGCACACAGTAGGTGCTTTAAAAACAAGTGTGGGCCCAGAGGACTTGGGAGGCTGAGGCAGGAAGGTTTTGGGGAGTTGGAGGCCAGCCTGGACTGCATAACGAGACCCTATCTCAAAAAAAAAAAAAAAAAGAAAGAGAAGAGGAAATAAGTGGAAGTGTGGGAAGAAAGCAGCAGGGGAGGGAGTGGCTGATCCCGAAACAGCATCAGCTGCTGTCTTGTGCAGGCCCTCGGGCTCTGCATGGTGCCCCTTAGGGTGAGCATGAGGTCAAGGGTTGCGCAGAGTTCACTCTCAGGGGTAACTTCCCGCTGGCTGCACCTCAGAGCAGGTCCTGAGCTGCCCCAGGGGTGTGAGCATCCTCAGTGAGGGGCAGAGGGGCTCTCCTGTCTGTCTCCTCTGTCATGGGCTCCTCCTGGCACTGTCCAGGGAGGCCTTCCACCTCTCGGTGGCCGCAGACACCCTGAAACCAGCCTGCCTGCTGGGCCATGCAGTGACAGCTCCCCTAAGTGCTGCTTGGAAATGTGTCACCGTCCTTCCCTTTGTGCCGGCAGAGGAGGCCGTGCCGACTGCGGCTGTGCACAGCGGGCCCAGGCTGAGCAGCTGGAACTCGCTTTATGAAATTATAGGGAATTCAAAGCAGCCGGCGTCGCCCGCTGTCTGGCTTCATTACTGGGAGCAGCCTCGAAGGGAGGTTTATTCCAGCCGTTTAGAGGATTAGGAGCTGACACCCTTCATTAGCGATCTGACACAGGCAGAAAAGACAGAGCTTGCAAAAAGAAAAAAAAAAGACAGAGCCTGCAGAGCGAGCCACATGGGAAGGGATGGCGGGGGAGAGAAGGTGACACCCACCCAGCCAGGAAGCGGAAGGGCTGTGGGGAAGGAGCACGTGTCCAAGTACACGGAGAGCTGTGGAACTGAGAGAGGGCCTCACTTTCCCCACCTGTGAATTCTGAGACCCCTTCGGGCTCTGCTGCGCTCCGGTACCCACCCATCTGCTATCCCCGGACACTGCACTTGGTCACTGCTCCTCAAATCCTTGTGACTTGTTCTTGTAAAGGGGCCTCAGCCAGGCGTGGTGGCACACACCTGGAATCCCAGCGCTCAGAAGGCTGAGCCAGGAGGATCGCTGCGAGTTCGAGGGCAGCCTGGGCCGAATAGCAAGACCCTGTCTCAAAAAACCAGAAAAGCTCGGGGAGGGGGTCTGTCTCCCAGGCCTCTGTCCCACCACAGTCCCAACACGGAGTGGCCAACACAAACACAGCCCGCTGGCTGCTCCTCAGCCTTTCCTGGAGAGAGGCCCTTTCCTGCCAAATGGGAGGGAAATCGTCCTCCGGCCCCTGGCAGCATCTGGCTCTCTTCCCAGCCCCTCCACAGAAACACCCCCCGATTTTCAAAAACGTCTGGTCTGTTCTATAAAAACCAGACTTGGGGCTGCACCTCGGCGGTTCTGGCAGATGTCTGGAGAAGGGTGGTTTTCAAAGGAGCCTGCCGCCCCCAGCAACGGGTATCCCCGCTTCCTGCGTTCACGGTAGGGTCACAGAGCTATGTGACACAGGACAGGGGCTCAAATCTAAAGTGGAGGCAGTATCGCCGTGAGGATGACATGAAGCCGGCACTATTCTGTTAGCGACTGTGCCACCATCATCGCTTGCTGCGCCCCTGGCTCAGTTGCTTGTGCTCTTCTGCTACGAACTTCCTCCCCGCGCTGGAGGAAGCAACACAAGACCAGCACAGTGCCTGTCACCTAGAGGGACCTCACTGGAGCCACATGGTGCATGCTTGTAGTCCCAGCTACTGGGGAGGATGAGGCAGGAGGACTGCAAGTTCCAGGCCAGCCTGGACAATGTTTGGAAACCTTGTTTCAAGGAAAAAAAAAAGTACTGCGGATGTAGCTTCCCATTTCCTGTATCCAATCCCAGCGAAAATATAAAAGAATACAAACAAGAGTGCGCTCACTGAGCAGTGGCCTGGGGGCCTTGAGCAAGGCAGCTTTCCGGAGCCTCAGGGGCTGGATGGAGGAGCAGGAATGTGACAAGTGCTGCTGCGCTGGGAGAGCAGAGCACGTCTGGCGTGTGTCTCTGGAATGATCACGAAAATGCATGGAAGCTGGAAGTGAAGATCCGGACTGTCCAGGGCGAGGAGACAGGGCGCAGCCGTGCGCACACCCCCGAGGGAGGACCTGGTGCAGACGGAGTCGGCTTACACACCCTGAGCTCCCAGGCCCGCCCTGGAATGGCCGTGAACTTGTTTTTCCACGTCATTTGCTCTCAAATGTACTATGGAGCTGGGCGACGTTCCCCGGCGGCTCAGGTCCTTCCTTGTAACAAGCGATTGTGTGTTCTTTCGAGGTGGCCACGGGGAGGAGGGGGCCTGGGCCCGAGGAGGTGGGGAAAGGCAAACAAACCCTTCTTTAAGTGAGCGTGCGTGTCCTGCAGCCAGGCCCCCCCAACGCACATGCCATTTCTGGCCCTTGAAGGGGTTAAAGGCCTCCCGGAGTCAAAAACAAGCAGGTGTCCCACCGTGCCAGATACGCTGCCTAAACTGCTTCCAGCTTCCCCCCTTCTGCAATAAGTCTGGGCTCAGCCACAGGACAGAGGCGCCGCGGCCCGCCAGTGACAGGCGTCAGGGTAGCTGGCTCCCACTCGGGTGGCGCGCCCAGGATATAAATCCAGGCTCGGGGCCCTGCGGTGGCTCGGTCCCCTCACCCCGAGGAGGCCGGGCTGCCTTCTCCAGGCCTTTCTTTCCTCTGGAGCCGCTCTGCCCAGCAGGCTGCGCTTGGAGGAGCCTTGGCCGCTGCAGCAGCCTTCGAGGGGAGACCTGTGGGTTGGGAGGGCAGGTGTCGGGCCTGAGGAGGAGAAGGTGCCAGTGGGTCACAGCCCCTGGCGTCCTCTCAGGGGAGGTCTCCGGCCACCACTGACCTGACCATGTGGGCCCTGGGGATCCACCCATCCTGGTCCCACAGGGGGCTGCTGCTCCTGCTGCTGCTGCTTGGGGTGGCCCTGACAGGCCTGGCACTGCCACCCATCCGATATTCCCACGCGGGCATCTGCCCCAACGACATGAACCCCAACCTCTGGGTGGATGCGCAGAGCACCTGCAAGCGGGAGTGCGAGGCGGACCAGGTGAGTGAGGCCCCAGCGCCCCAGCTGTGTGACTGGGGCCGGAGCTGGGGTGAGACGCTGTGCCGGTGCCCTCCTCGACGTGGTGGACACAGGCCCTGTGCACCTGAGATGAGCAAGGCCTGTGCTGTGCACTAGAGCTGACAGGAAAAAGAGCGTGTGGTGGCCGAGTTTATCCAAGACTAGAAGTGCAGGACCCCAGCTTCCTGTTGGCACAGGGTGGCTCTGAGCCAGCCTCATGCCAGGCACATCGCATGGACTGGCATGGGCCACCTGCTCACAGGTGAGAGAATGGACGCTCAGACCCGTGCCACAGCCAATGAGGGACAGGAGGGCCAGGGACCTGGATCTGTCTGCCGACGATGCCAAGGTTTCATCCGGCGGCCACCTCCTTGGGGTTTGGCCCCTGACCCAGAGAGCGACCAGGCTGAGGAGCAGGGCGGGCGGAGCTGCTCTGACCAGACAGTGCAGGTGTCCTTGGGAGGGAAGGCTGGCATGCCAGCACCAGTCCTCAGCAGGATGCTGAAGCAGGCAGGGCTGGCTCCACGGCACCATGTCCCTGCTGCTAAGGTGACCCAAGGCCATCCCTGTTCACTCTGTTCTGGGTGTGGCCCGCTCCGAGGATGGCACAGTGTCCCAGCCATCACAGGGGACACAAGAGACCCTCAGGTCATCCACAGGACAGCACAGGGCTGCTGCAGAGAGTTCGGCTCTGCCTCCAGTGCCTTGAGGACAATTCTCAGGTCTTGAAGGACAGATGCTGCCGGTGGGCAGCACTGGTGCCAGGGAATTGGAGCGGGAAGGCCAGTGGCTGCCCCCGTGGGCTGTGGGTCTGTTTGTGGGAAGCCTGTTTCACTGACACAGACTGGCCTGAAAGATGAGGGCAGACTTGAGGAAAATTGGACTCTGGCTGGTGCCATGTCTCTTGGGGAGAAGGCAGCTGTGTGGGCCAAGGGCACACACGTCGCCTGTGGGCACATCAAGGTCCTGTAAGCAGAATCCTCTAAGGATCCCCAGGGAGCATCCTGGCCACAGCAGTGAGGGAGTAGGGTGAGCCTCAGGCTGCCCTCCTCAACCCCATGGGTCCCCTGCCTTAGTCCCCAGCTCGGAGCAGGGCCCATACCCGTCTCAAAGCCTCCCCTGGGGTGGCCTCAAAGCTGATGCCAACCAAAAGCTGCAAAACAAAGTCCCCATTCTGAGCCCAAAGGGGGAGAACAGTAAACAAGTGAGGCAGGCAGCTCCGCACGCCCGGGCGGGGCGATTTTCCCCTTAGCTGATGTGGAATGTCAAAGAGGCTAAATAAAAGTCGGAAGGACAAGAGGCCGGCCCCACGGTGCGGTGAGCAATTCGCAGAGTTACTACCTGGTAGAGGATTATGAGCTACCCGCCTCCCCAGCGGGCACGGCGTGTTATTGTCGAAAACACCACGTGAAATCCGTGTTTGTGTCGGCCCCAGGAGCATACTGCTAATTTTGAAGAATTAAGCTAATGCCTTACGGGGCTCCACAGAAATCAGAGGGGATTATGGCCTGGCGAGGCCCGGAGGGAGAACTTGCTGACCTTTGCCACACAAGGGGATGTTTTGCTTGTTGCTTTCTCCCTGAAATGTCCCTCACAGAGCTGGGCACCGGGGTTTGGTGGGGGACAGGAGTTCCAGCGTGTCCGGCCTGATGGGTCCTGTTGTCACCGGTTTCCCTGAGGGGAGGAGAGGTGTGGGTGACAACTGTCCCAGAGGTGACCTCTTCAGGTGATGGAGAAAAGACACAGGGGCAGCCTCTCTCTGCAAGCCTGGATCTCACTGGGCCAAGCACACCATAGGGTTTCAGAACCCCTTCTGGGAACCTGATGTCCTTTTCTGCCACACCCTGCCTCTGTGGTACGGGTGTCACCCCTCTGTTGCTCCATATTCTAGTCTGTACACTGGTGCTAAGAAAACATCCCCTCTTAGAGCCAGGCGTGGTGGCGCATGCCTGTAACCCTAGCACTCTGGAAGCTGAGGCAGGAGGATCGCTGTGAGTTTGAGGCCAGCCTGGGCTACATAGCAAGACCCTTTCTCAAAAAACAAAAGCAAAAATTCCCTCTTAGAGGTCTGTGTAGCCATACGACCTAAGCAAGTTACTCAACCTCTCTGTGGCTCAATATCACCACCTGTAAAATGCTTGTCCCACTTTAAGTGATGACACAGTAGTGGACAGGTGTCAGGGTTCGTAGAAAAGGGTCTTCTCTGCTTGATATTCAGGTCCCCTCCCTGCCAGCCCAGGGGCGGGGCGGGTTGCTGTTCCTTCCTCGCTCCCCATGTTCAGAGCCCTCTCTCTCCCCACGGCTCTTTCAGGAGTGTGAGTCCTACGAGAAGTGCTGCCCCAACGTGTGCGGGACCCGGAGCTGCGTGGCGGCTCGCTACATGGATGTGCGGGGCAAGAAGGGCCCGGTGGGCATGCCCAAGGAGGCCACATGCGACCACTTCATGTGCCTGCAGCAGGGCTCGGAGTGCGACATCTGGGATGGGCAGCCCGTGTGCAAGTGCAAAGAGCGCTGTGAGAAGGAGCCCAGCTTCACCTGCGCCTCCGACGGCCTCACATACTACAACCGCTGCTACATGGACGCCGAGGCCTGCTCCAAAGGCATCACGCTGGCCGTCGTCACCTGTCGCTACCACTTCACCTGGCCCAATACCAGCCCGCCGCCCCCCGAGACCACAGTGCACCCCACCACGGCCTCCCCAGAGACCCCCGGGCAGGACCTGGCAGCGCCCGCCCTGATCCACCACCCGGCACACCAGTCGGTGACTGTGGGTGAGACGGTGAGCTTCCTGTGCGACGTGGCAGGCCGGCCACGGCCTGAGATCACCTGGGAGAAGCAGCTGGAGGACCGGGAGAACGTGATCATGCGGCCCAACCACGTGCGCGGCAACGTGGTGGTCACTAACATCGCGCAGCTGGTCATCTACAACGCGCGGCCCCAGGACTCCGGCATCTACACCTGCACGGCCCGCAATGCCGCCGGGGTCCTGCGTGCTGACTTCCCGCTGTCGGTGGTCAGGGGGGGCCTGGCAGAGACCCCCTCCCAGAGCAGCCCCAACGGCACAGCGTTCCCGGCGGCTGAGTGCCTGAAGCCCCCCGACAGCGAGGACTGCGGCGAGGAGCAGACCCGCTGGCACTTCGATGCCCAGGCCAACAACTGCCTCACCTTCACCTTTGGCCACTGCCACCGCAACCTGAACCACTTCGAGACCTACGAGGCGTGCGTGCTGGCCTGCATGCGAGGGCCTCTGGCCGTGTGCAGCCTCCCAGCCCTGCAGGGGCCCTGCAAGGCCTACTCGCCACGCTGGGCCTACAACAGCCAGACGGCCCAGTGCCAGTCCTTCGTGTACGGGGGCTGTGAGGGCAATGGCAACAACTTCGAGACCCGCGAGGCCTGCGAGGAGTCCTGCCCCTTCCCCCGGGGCAACCAGCACTGTCCAGCCTGCAAGCCGAGGCAGAAGCTCGTGACCAGCTTCTGCCGCAGTGACTTCGTCATCCTGGGCCGGGTCTCCGAGCTGACGGAGGAGGCCGACACAGGCCGCGCCCTGGTGACCGTGGACGAGGTCCTCAAGGACGAGAAGATGGGCCTCAAGTTCCTTGGCCGGGAGCCACTGGAGGTCACCATGCTGCAGGTCGACTGGGCCTGCCCGTGCCCCAACGTGACGGTGGGCGAGGCACCGCTCATCATCATGGGGCAGGTGGAGGGTGGCATGGCCATGCTGCGGCCTGACAGCTTCGTGGGCGTGTCGAGCGCCCGGCGGGTCAGGAAGCTCCGTGAGGTCTTGCACAAGAAGACCTGTGACGTCCTCAAGGAGTTCCCAGGCCTGCACTGAAGCCACCACCCGCCCAGCCCTCCTCAGCTTCCCACCCCTTGGCCTGGCCCCTCAGGCCACAAACCGGGCAAGATCAGAGGAGACAGTCACAGGCCACGGGCCCGCCAGTCCACGGGGCAGGGGAAAGCCACCGAAGGGGGTGCTGAGAGCCATCTCTAGTCTTTGGGGTCAGTAAGGGGTCCGTGTTTCTTTCTTAGCTGAGGGGGACAAAGGAGAAGTCACTAGACACCTGAGGGTTATTCCTGATGACCAGGCCATCAATTCCCCGGCTCCCCAGCCTGGGCTCAAGAGCGGCTGGCAGGTAGCTAGTTGAGAGACTTGGCTTGCAGAGGGGACACAGGGGTTACACGTGCCCCACAAACCTCCCAGCCACCACGAGCAGGGCCCACCGTGTGGAGGGTCGTGGGCAGTGGGAAGCTAGAGGCACCATCAACCTGGCACACGAGCGGAGGCGGCGGACGTCTGTGAACGCTCGCTGGGTGCCCGGGAGGACACCAGAAAGCTGTCACGGCCCGGTGCCTCACGCCCACCCGCACAGCCCTGACCCCCGGGCCCCCGCAGACCCGTGCTGGCACTGCCTGCTGCCAAGCGTTTCCGCCTGGTGGGGCATGGGCTTGCGTAGTAAGGCCGAGGCCGACAGAGGCCCAGGATCCGAATCGGTGCCAGAGGGGCGAAGGGAGGAAGGGCCGGCCAGGAGGAGGTAATGGAGGAGTCAGCGGCGAGGTGGCTGGGAAGGAGAGGAATGCTGCTCGCTGTCCCCCTCTGGTGGCCGCCGAGGCGCCCGCAGGGACCTGGCTGGAGAGTAGGAGGAGCCCCGCGGGCTGGGAAGGGGCGAACAGCCCCCGGTGCCTCCTTTTGTGCGTTTCCGGACCCCTGCGTGGGCCCCGCTGCCCTACCCCTCGACAGAGGACCTGGGAACCCCGCTGTCAGCTCTGTATCTGCCCCCCAGCTCCCTCCTCTGCCCGTTCCCAGTCCAGCCCCCCAGAGCTCAGGAAGGCCGTGGCGGGGCGTCCCCATGTCCCCAGGCTTCCTCAGTGTAGGGAGGAAGCTGCTAATTAAAAGCTCATAGCATCAACTGCTCCTCCGGTGATTCATTGGGGCTGAAGTGGGGCGAGGGAGGAGTAGTGTTGGTGTCATTCGCTCAGGTGACCTTTCAGGAAAGTCTGGCCAATGGGACTGAATATGCCCCCCCCGCCCCCCTCATCCTGCGGATGTCCCACCCCCTGAGCCATTGAGCCAGGGAGGGTGAGGCTGAAATCCAGGTCACCTCAGGGTCCCTCTGCATGAGGACCCTGTCCCCGCAGCCACTGATAGCGTCCTGTGCCCTGTTCAGAGGCATGAGAAGGGAGACGGAGTGGGCAGGCAGAGCACCTGGCAGCTGTGACTCCAGGGTGCGCCCGGCCCAGCTGTGACTTGCAGGGCATGGAGACAGCCGTCCAGAGTGTGGCAGCAGTGCCTTTGGCCTCTCGGGGTCATTCGGTGCCCAGCCCTGGAATGGTGTCTGCCACACTCACACCTCCTGTGTCCCTCACAAGGGACACCTCTGCCTAGGTCCCCTGGGGCACTGCCCAAAGGAGCAGGCAAGGAGCTGGGCGTGGTGGCCTGTGCCTGTCATCCCAGCACTCGGGAGGCTGAAGCAGGAGGCCCACTGCAAGATTTTTGTTTGTTTTGTTTCGTTTTTTGAGAAGCGTCTCTGTGGGTCTAGGTCTCACCTGTAAAGCACTTTACAGAGACTTAGGAACCCCGGGAAACACAGCTTGGCCCTGAGTGGCTGCCTGTAGCAGCCCCAATGCCTGATGCCTCCCTGTCCTCCTGGCCTCGGGTTGATTTGGGGCTCAGAAAATATGGGCACCTAGGGTACAAGTGGCTGAGAACCAATCATCATTTCTGGCATTTAGTTTTCCTTTCTTGAACCCACGCTTAGTCTTTCCTGTGTCACCCTAGGCTGAACAGGTGCCACTTCAGGGGCTGGCAGCAGGAGCCTCCCTCAGTCTGGGGCATCCGGCTCCAGCCTGGCCCAGGACACAGCAAGCCCAAGGCCTCTTCACCAAGGCCAAGGCCCACAGCCTCCCTGTCCACCCGTGACACGAGGTCCCTCCTCTTCTTGTGTCCCCTGGGTCCTGCCGCCCCTCCGGTCCTTCTCCTGGGCTCACCTCTCCCCACCCGGCCTATTCCAGCCTCACTGTCTCCAGCCAGTCAAGGCCTCTGGGCTGGGCGGCTGGACCTCTCCACCCTCGCCCTCCCCTGGTCCCCAGCCTCCTGGGACACTTGGCTCCATCGTCCGGCCAGCTGTTTCAGAGTCTGATATCACCCCCTAGACAGTGGGGCCAGACAGCAGGAACCAGAGGGACCTGGCCAGGGAAAGGACAGCAATTCACAGCCTGTGGCAGTGTCCTCCGTCCGCCTGTCCCCTTACAGTACATCCCAGGTGCTGCGTGACAGACACTGGATGCCATCCCTGTGGCAACTGCAGGAGGCACAAAGCTACTTTGTAGGTGGGACACCTAAGGCTAGGGGCAAGGGACAGGCCAGGGCCACAGCTTCTAAGGAGCAGAGCAAAGACTCCTAATGCCCCTGCTGTGCTGTTTGGCTCAGTGTGACACACACACACATGCATCCACACCTGCTCCAGGCTGGGCAGCATGGAGCCGCATCAGGCGGGGACCTAGATACCCGCAGTCAGCTGACAGTGCACCCCAACCCCGGGGCTGTTTACTCCTGGCCACGTGACCCATATTTCTGTCAGGCGCATGCGCGCACAGCCTCAGCCTAGATTCCTGAGCGAGATATCAGGCTGCTGCATGCTCATCTCTGAGCTTCGGCTCCTTGGGGAAACCTCCGCGGCCCAGGCCTTGGGGCCTCTTTTCCACATCTCCCCTCGAGCTCGCTGTGATCCAGATCCCAACAGTTGCCGAGGAGGGGTTTGCGGGCTGTGGGAGGTTGGACCGCGTGGGTGGACAGCGGGCCCGGCGGGGTTCTCCGGGGCTCCACTGCCTTTCCAGCCCCACCTCCTGGCTCCTCCTCCTCTGCCTCCCCTGCCCAGGGGAGCGTGTGATTAATGCGGCTTTGACGGTGGCAGGGCTCTGGCTCAGGCCCTATTCTGGGCTGTGCCCTCATTCTGGAATGCGCCCTGAGGTCACTCGCATCTGGGCTGTGTCAAGGGAAGGAAGGGCAAGCCCAAAGCTGGCACAGAGCGGAGGGGAGGGCAGCCGGGTGGACAGGGCTCCTGCCCGCCCTCCTGCCTGCCTCCCCCGGGGACATTCACACTTCTCCGGTCGAGGTCAGGCGGGAGTCTCTGTGTTCAGGTCCCAGATTCACCCGGGACCTACAACCCTGGCTCCAGGACATTGGCCATGCTAGGCCCACACGGCGGCAGGGGCAGGGCCCAGCCCAGGCGTTCCTGGAGTCTCAGAAAGGAGGAGGTGGGCACTTGGGTGTCGTCTGCCCTTTCCAGGTGTTCGAGGACTGCCAGGGCCCTGCTGAGATGGTGACAGACCCATCTGATTGCTGTCTGATTGCGCGCGGGGCACCTCCAGGATGTTCTCCAGTCTAATCCTCATGGCTTTCTTTTTCTTTGCAGTACAGGGGCTGGAACCCAGGGCTCACACATGCTAGCCCAGTGTTGTACCACTAAGCTACAGCCCCAGATCTTTTTAAATTTTATTTTGAAGCAGGATCAGTTTGGCCTTGAATTTGCAATTCTCCTGTCTCAGCCTCCAGAGTAGCTGGGATTACAGGTGTGTGCCACCACACTCAGCTTTCATGACTTTTTTTTAGTACCAGGAATCAAACTCAGGACCTCGTGCCTCAGGCAGACACTGCCCCTGAGCTACAGCCCCTGGCCCAAGGGGCCCCCCCCTTTTTTTTTTTGGTGCTGGGAATGGAACTCAGGACCTTGCCTTGCAAGGCAGGTGCCAATCTCTGACCCAGGGCCCTTGTAAACTGGATACTATTCTGCCATTTCACCATTGAGTAGATCCCGCCCTAAATTACAGCCTTCAGGTAAGCCAAGACAATAGGTGCTTTGTGCACTAGTGTGAGATATGGCCATCCAGGGTGTTCAAGAAGTATTTGTGGAAGGGCCAGGGGTTTAGCTCAGTGGTTCCGCCACCTCCTTCACAAGCTAAAGGTCCTGAGTTCGATCCCCAATAGAGGAAAAAAAAAAGGTATTTGTTGAATGAATGAACGATGCAAGCCATACACATTTCGTGGAGGAAGAAATCCCATCTTCAGTATTATCCACCATAGCCCCCCCTTTTTTTTCTGCCACCGGGGGTCAAACTCAGGACCTTCCACTTGCAAGGCAGATGACCTCCACTTTTGTTGAGAACTGTCATCCCAGTACTCAGGAGGAGTACTCACTGAGGCAGGAGGATCGCTGTGAGTTCCAGGCCAGCCTGGGCTATACAGCAAGACCCTGACTCAGTACATAAATAAATAAATCCTTCCATCATCACAGAAACATCTGTCATACAGTCATGTTACCAAGTATTCTTTATTTATTTTACTTAAAAAAAATATTTTTTTTGTGGTACCAGGGATCGAACTCAGGACCTTATGCTTGCAAGGCAGGCTCGGTGGCACTATGCTAAATCCCCGGCCCTGCACAGTATTCTTGTTCTCTTTGGCAGAGGGCTCGTGCCAGGTCAGGGACCATCTCTAGTGGCCTTCACCTCAGCTCCTGCCCTGCCAAGGACTCCAGGGACTTCCTGTTTTTAGTGACTTGCTGGCGTCTCTCCTGTGGCCCTATTGCCACCAGAACTGTGGGCTCTTTCACTACAGCCATTGTCGCCAGCCCCGATCCCAGTCTCAAAATCCCCCATCTTTTCTCCCAGAGGCTACACAGGCCTTCAAGGAGAGCTCTTGATGGTCTTCCTCAGCTTCCCAGAGTTCCTGAAAAGATAGACAAATGAATCCGTGCCCACATACACGTGCACACATGCACACACGCACCGGGGCTGGTGGCCCAGCAAGCAGAGAACAGTGTTGGCTACAGATGGGGACTGTGGGGACCTCCTGGTGGCTCGAAGAGCTTCCTCCTCCCTTCATTCCCAGCCCCAGGTCTGAGCCTCCTTGGACCAAGGGCCCCCCCCCATACACCAAGGGGGTGGCAGAATAAGGGGGGACCTCCTCCTTGGCCCTAGGGTTGCTGACAACGGAGAGGATGATCCCATGCTCATTACAACCGGTAATTTCGTGCTGTGACCTAACAGGAGGAGAAGGCAGTATATAGAAATGAGACACAGACGGCAGCCCTAGGACTCGAGCACCTGTCACCAATTAGCTACCAGGTGGTAGAGCTGGTAATTTCCCTTCATGTGTGAGTACGTATGGTACTAAGGATTGGACTCACGGCTCCACACTGAGCTACATCCCCAGCCATTTTTACTTTTTTTACAATTTTGAGACAGAGTCTTCCAAAATTATTAAAGTTGCCCAGGCTGGCCTCAAACTTGGGTTCTTCCTGCCTCAGCCTCCCAGAGTTCTGGGATTTCAGTTGTGTCCCACCATGCTCTGCTGATAATCTCCATTTTAAGAGCTAACAGCACTTAATACACGCTTGACATGCATTGTCTCATTAAATATTTACAAGCCTGTGAAGTGTGTTTAATATTTTCCTCATTTCAGACAAGAGGAAACAGGCTTGGGGGGAGGGGTGGGATAATTTGCCCGAGGTCCCAGCCGAGCCGGAAACAAACCTAGGTGGGGCTCTTAACCACGGGGAGAATATCTACCACCACAATTTTTTTTTTGTTTTTGGTTTTGTGACACAGGGTTTCACTATGCAGTCCAGGCTGGATTTGAACTTACTGTGTAGGCCAGGCTAGCTTCAAACTTGCAGCAATCCTCCTGCCTCAGCTCCCCTAATGCTGGGATTACACAAGTGCGCCACCATTCCCGACACCCCCTCCCCCATAGATTTAAGAGTAGTTGAGAATGGAAGCCAGAAGTGGATGGAAATGCTAGTAACCCTAGGAGGCTGAGGCAGAAGGGTTGAATTCGAGGCCAGCCTGGGCTACATAGGGAGACCCTGTCTCAAAAAAAAAAAAAAAAGCTTCTTCT